TCGCATCAGTGAAAAATTTGTAAACAATTTGTGAAATACAAATATTTACAAATCAATTACAATCCAAAAAGATGCAGCAATAGTGACACCAACATATAAACCAGGAGAAACGAGAATAATAATAATAATAATAATTAAATAATAATTATAGTAATTACTATATATTATGATACCACGTTTCCAAAAATCCCAAAATCCAACATCCATTGATCCGTACATACGTACTTCCTCTCGCACTTCTACGTGTATATCATACCCATTGTACTTCTCTCGCCATAAGGTCGCGTCTCACGAGGCAGCGTCGAGAGAGAGAGAGAGAGAGAGAGAGAGAGAGGGAGATATAAAAGATCAAAAAAAAAAAAAAAAATTAAAAAAATATCCTCGATGTTTCCGACTTTTTGAAAGCTCCGGTTGCGGTTATTGCCCCGGCAACACAAATTGCGGTCGGACCACGGTCGGCGAAATTTCATTCCGCGTTTTTCCACGCTTTGGACATTGTCACAGAAAGTATCCTCGTGGAAAGCCAATATCATGTAATTAAATTTTCGACGGTTTGAACAGAAAAGAGCAACGAGATACGCGTATGTGGCGTCCACATCCACGTTGAATACGTGGATGGAGAGGGGGGGGGGGGGAGAGAAGAGGAGGTGAGGAGGAGTGGGAAATTTTCGTGATCGATCAGATCTGCGGTCGGCCATTTTCGACCGACAAAGAAAGTCGTTCGCGGCCGTCGCTCGATTGATTAATTAAAAAGTTGGAAGTGTCGAGGAGCCCGCCACGATCCCACGATATAACGCGCCCATTTCCGGTTTCCTCTTCGAGAGCGACATCGACATCGCGGACTCGAGCCCTCCGATTAAATTTAATCGTCCCCTTCCCGAACGAAACGGAAAGGGATTGGTCCAAATCCTTCGAATTTTGAATTTTCGAACTGTTTTCCGTTTTCCTCGATCGAAGGTGTTTGGCGTTTGTTTGACGTTTTTCTCTCTGTCGGTAAGGTAGAACGTGTTTTCACATCCTCTCGATAAAACGATTGTTGTTTATTTGTCGAAGCGTGTTTACCATGCATTATAGGTTTAAACGTACGCGATACCAAGATTAGACTTGTATTATTGTACCAATTATATTACACGTGTATTATATTATTATTCTATTAATACTATTCTATTAATATATTCTATTAATTAATCTATTATTATTGATGAGATATTGAACGGAAATCAATATTAAACACAGATATAATAGATAAGTTTAAAGTTATAATTAAATTCTTCGACAAGGAAAAACAAAATCTTTCAGAGATTAGCGTTAAAATTTGCTTTGTTTATTGCACAACATATACCAAACAATTTATATTGTACAATACATAATTGTATTTTATCAATCAACAAAACATAAAATTTATATAAGTTGCTCGTTGCTCATATTTTTTGCCCAGTTGAAATTCGCCATTATTTACTTTATTTTTTCGAAAAATATTATTTTACCATTCAAATAATATGTTGAATAAATAAAATTTACGTCCGAATCACTTTCTTAAAATCGTTAAAAAAAAAATAACGCCATTTCAAACATTTAAATATGTATATATAATACAAAGAATAATACACGTAAAATCTATCAGATTAACAATCTCTCGCACGCCATAATGTCCGAATATATTAATTCGAGTCACGAGTGTTAATTGGAGGCCGGGAACAATAATCCAATTCGTCGAATTACACGAGAGAAAGAAAGAAATCCAAACGGTATTGTTAATGTTTCCATTATACGGAAACGTTAATAAATTTCGATTATATTAAGTACGCCGCGTTTTACGACACCGGCCGTTAACAAAGCGCGGTGAAATTGAACGAAAAGTGGAAAGTTACAGTGGCAACCAGTCACTGGTGGAACTTTGCTACTTTGCCATTGAAATCCGTGCCACCGGCACCAATTCCGCAATACATTGTCAAAACTTTCCCTCGACGAACGTAATTAACGATCGTCGAAGTTCACGATTTGTTCTCTCGATCGAAACGCAAAAAGAGTAAGAGAGAAAGAGAGAGAAAGAAGGATGGCTCACCATACCTAATAGACACCATACCTTTGGCCGGAATTTTTCGTACGGAGAATCGAGTCGAAAAAATCAAGTCTCTTGCAGTGCTTGCCTAATTAAGCATAAAAATAACTAGAATGAACATTTAAAAAAAAAAATTGGAAATTTTTCTTTACATTTTCGAATTATTTTCGAACATTTAACAAAACAAGTATAATGATATTTAAAAATATCATTTTATCATTTTAACAGATTAGTTAAATAACTTGCACAAATTTGTAAAATACAATAAATATCTTCCATAAAGTGGATATACATTCCATCTTCACTTTGAAACGTCTCGTAAACAAATAATATAAATTCTACGATTTACAGAATACGATCGAAAGAAAACAAAGCCAAACATAAACAACACCTTACAATCACCTAAATCGATGAGGATTATATATAATGGCGAGAAAACAACGAAATCTGTCGTCGAGGTAGGAAGTGGCCGTCTGAAAGGCGAAATCTTTTACATCGGCAAACAGCGGTTCGAATTTTTCTCTCGAGGGGGCGTCGAGATGAAATTCGAAAGGCGAAAAATCGATGATTTCTCGACACTGGCGCCAAAGCTTAACAAATATTCCGTCACGTCGAGGTCCACGATGTTTGTTCACCGTCTTGGATCCCTGCCCGCTCCGAGCCGCCTCATTAAGCCCGAAAATAATAGCTCGCCATGGGTACCGCCATGAAACGACGGAGATGGAGATGGAAAATCCTGGAAATTCTGTCGTGAGCCATAGAAGAGGGAGGAGTTGTTGCTGAGAAGGAAGGACTGGCCCGAGGGTGCGACGTCAGATTTGTCTCGTTAGAGTTCGCATTGTGCCTGACTATGCCCCGATCTCTCGTTATGGTATTCTGCTATCCTCCTCCATCGCATTGGCGAACCGCTCGTTCCTTCCTTCTTCTTCTGGCGTCTAACGAGCTTCCATTAATAGACACCAGTAGGCTTCGAGCATTTTCTGATTATTCTGATTATTATAAATTGTCATGCTGATGCTTTTCTTCTTTGTCAATTACTGGATGCATTATCTTGTTGTAGCTTTCTCTAGATATTTTGTTTCGAAAAAATGATAGATTGGACTTCGATGATTTCCAGGAGAAAAATTAAAAGCTTCAATGGAGTTTTATGAATTAAATTCAGTGTTGATTTTGAGAAAGAAAAAAATATGATACTTTTAACATATCGTGATACATTTGTGTAAAGTCATTTGTGTAAAGTCAGGTTAGATTAGCTTCGATAATATTTTAATCTAAAGAATCAGTACCTCCTTATTCACGGATAAAAAGAAATGGATTTAGATTAATTTATTATTAATAGTAAGATGTATAAATTGTTCAGAATAATTGAACATACTTCGAGATCATCAAAGAGAAGGTCGTCATCTTTCTTTCGTATAAATAATTACCATAAATTCTGCATAAAATTATTCCTTGTACAAGATAATATTTAAAAAAAATTCCATCAAGATACTTCAAAGAAGGTAGTCTATCGATATCGTAAAAAGGAATGCCATGAATCTCAGTGTTTCTTCGTCGATCCTTCTTGCAAAAGATCGATCTTTGGACAAGAAAACGTCGTTAGGGAAGATCGATAGACGCAAGTTTCTTGTTGATTGTCCAAGTTGTACAGGTAATTTGTAATTCAACTGATCTCTAATCGCGATGTCTCTTGGCAACTGTTGTCCCTCTTTCTTAAGGGATCTCTGGATCGAAAGTTTATAGACAGATGGTTTATCGAGATGTCGCTGATGGTGATGCCAGGAAAAGGTTCTAATCGATTCAAAGCCATCTTGACAGAGTATCGATAGTTTTTAGACATTTAATATCGGGATATTTTCCGAGATTTTTCAAAGACCACGTCGGCTATCACTAACAGTGGTCACGAGTCTATTCTTGTTATTAAACTGTCAATTCCAAATTGGAGGAATTGATACGTCAATTTAAAATTTTAAGGGATAATATTGAATAAGGTTGACTTAAATTGGTGACGTAATTTTTCCACGTCATTAATAATTTGATAATATTGAATAATGAATAGTTTTTTTTATTCGTTACGTAATTGTACTATTTTCCAATTATAGAATAATTATTTATTAAAAATCTTTTCACTCTATATGATTTCGTATTATATTCAATATTCTCGATTTTTCTTTCAAGAATGTCAAAAATTTATAAAAATATTTAAAAAATAGAAACAAATATTGCTTTGCATAATTTAATCGATAAGAATAAAGAAATTGCAAAAAATAATATATAAAGTGTCAAAATGTATTCACGTTTGAAAAATCGATATTTAAAGTTTATTTATTAAATTATAAGTAATTTATTTCGTCCAACACGAATTTGAATTGTATATATATATATGTTTTAATTTTAAAATAAAATGTTTTTGATGGTATTTTATAATTTGGATTTTATATAACAAATTGATCCAGAAATTTTAAACTCTTTTATCTCATTTTAATAAATCGTACTCATATTAAATGCAATCTAATGACAAAACTATTCGTTATACATAAAATCAAAAAGAAACATGTTATTAATACTCTTAACTTTCAAAATCGTTTAAGTTCCCAAAATTAAAAATATTCCAAGAAATTAGCATTACATCTTCATCATTTTAATAAACAAATTTCCAATAGAACGAAACACTTTGCATCTTCCATTTATATAACGAAAAAACTCGCACACGAAATTATTCCAAACCTATAGTATCTCTCTCGTAAATTTTCCCAAACTCGCCAAATAGAAAACAAAAAAGAATCAAAAAGATGAATAATAACTACGATCGTAAAGAATCTCGATCTCAAAATCGATCGAAAAAAAAAAAAAGAAATGATTCGACAAAAAATTTTATTATTCTCCTCGAAAAAGCGTTTCCCCTCCCCTCTCACCGATTTCTCCTTCGAAATTTCAGCAAGCTCCCCGGAGCCGCGTACGTGCCCATACTTGGGCAAATTTACGGTGACTGGGGTGAACCGGAACCAGCGGAACATTCGTGAGAGCCGCAGGAGCCAGCACCAGGAAGGGGCTGTCGTGAGGCGTGACAGGGAGAAAGTTCGACACGCCCAGGAGCGTACCCAGGAAGATCGACGGGGCCGGAAGCTCGACTTCGACGTGGAGAAACGCAGGGTGGCCAACAACGAGTACCTCGTCCACGAGCGTATGGGCAGGCGCGCCAGGTCGAACCGCAACAATCGAAACCATAGGGAGCACAGCCCGGAGGAGGCATCCTCGAAGAGGAGCCTGGACATCGAGGATTTGTTGCGAGATCGTGCGAGATCGAAGGTGAGAAGGTCCGAGGAGCAGGGCTCGAGGTCGAAGGTCAGAAGGGTGCGCGAGATCGGAGTGAAGAGGTCGAGGAGAAAGATGGAGGATTTCGGGATGGACGCGGACGATTTCGCGCGAATCAGGCAATTCTGGACGACAGATCTCGACGACAGTGACGGGTCGAGCATGCTCGAGGTGCAGGAGGATTATTTCGGCGATTACCCGGACACCGCCGACCTGCCCAAGAAGAGGTCGGGCAGGGGCGAGAATATTTTGACGAGGAGGAGGAGGAGGAGGAGGAGGAGGAGGAGAAACGTGGAGGAGCTGGATTCCGGCAATGGGTCGTTCGAAAAAAGGGAGAAGAGGGAGGAGGATGTGTCTAGATGCAGCTCGGAGGTTACCACCATTACTATTGGGTGCTCCACCGCGGATAGAATGGAATTCCAGACGGATTGCGTCGACGACAATGCTATTGGTGAGTCCATGTTCCCGATCTTGATCATGCTTTTTCAGTCGGTAATTATTCGCTAGTATTAGTCTCAGAAAATGGATGTCACTAAAGAATTGATAAGTGACCAAGATATTCATGAAATAGGACATGACAAAGAAATTATGATAGCATTACATATTAAAAAAGTTGGTGAATTTAATGGAACTAAATGTCTAAGAAATATTAAGTAATTTTTATAAATTAAATAAATCAAGAATCTAAGTCATAATGTTAATGATAAGATTATATTTAATAATAAATGTCTTGTGATTGTAAATACATATGGAATTAATCTAAATATATTTACAATTATAATATAAATTATTAATCTAATAAAAATAATAATATTTGATTGATATTTTGATTTAGAAATAATTTTAATTTTATATAATCACTCTAAAACGAAAATTCCATGAATTAATCTGATCTAAATCCAATATTTTTATAGTAATTATATAACATATATCAAAAGTAAAGTCATTTGAAGTGACTTTATCTAAATTGCACATTTTTGAAAACTGTAATTCATTCAGAATTGTTTTCATTGTCAAAATTAATAACAATACAACAATTCTGTAATAATCTGAAAGGTAGATTAATTCAAATCTATTTTTCCAAATTATATATGCATTGATATGTTAATATATTTTAATTAATAGAATCAATTTTGAAAGTTTGAAGAAATTGGTTATCCATTTATTATATTAAATAAAAATTCTTATCACATTCTTATTAAACAACTTCAAATCCAATATTTTGCTAACGTATAATCGTTGCTCGCTTTCTCTGCTCAATTAGCAAACGAAGAAGAAAGAACTCGAATTATTCCGGCTCTCAAAATTAATTAAACCCGGTATTAAACGTATAGACCGTCACGTCAAAGATTTGTCAATTCTTGCAATAGAATGGAACTTTTATTTCCCTTCACATTCAGCGTCGAAACTCGTCAAAGTTTATTTAAAGGATAATGGCACTCGAGGGTTAACGAGCGACTTCGACGATACCGTCTCTCCACTATTATTCGAGAAGTTCGCCTTCCCCACCCTTCAGATGGTTAAAGAAGCCTTTGCTTTCTCTTTCGCAGCTTACTCCTGCCACGGTAGGTGGTTCGACGCCGAGGGAACCCAATTCGTGATCGCTACCCAACTGGCACCTGGAACTGGCTGGTCGAACGAGAACAACAGGCCCCAACCGTACAGGAACAGCCGTAGACTGTGCTTCATGTACAAAGAGAGCGGCGGTGTTGTCAGTTTGACTGCCAGCGAGGTGGCCTGCCAGAGGGGAATACCCCCACCCCCGCCAATGTTGGCCTTCAATGCTACCAGTACCGGTGAGTACCCCCTCCACCTCCTCACCTTCGACCACTTCACTCTCGAGTATCCTTAAGACCTTCGAGGAAACGTCTCGGCTGCAACGAATCTAACTGTTTTGTTCCGGCAACTAGGCAAGAATCTTTTTCCTCCTTCGAGCACTCCGTCTCGAGATTTACGGGAACAGTAATCGTGAAAAGAATTAGACGCGATACTCGCGTCCTTTTCTTGATTCGATTATTTTTTCCCTTCCCTTCTTAAGAGTCGTAGAGATGGTGATGGTTAGTTACCTATTGCTATTTCTCTCGTATTCCTTTGTTTACCTTAACTTTTGAGTGAATTGTCGAGGAAAGATTTGAGTCGTAGATACGATTTTTCATCATACGAGTACTTTATCATAAACGTTGGAAAAATAGCTTTTCACCAGCATACATACGCGCTATGGATTTCTTGATCAGATTTATTCAAATGTGAAATCTATTTGTAAATCTATTTCTCTTGTAGAATAGCGAGAAAATGCAACAAAGAGTTATTTTTCATCTTCGAATCATAAATTGAAAGTCAAGCAAACAATTTTAAAATCCAATTCAATCAAGAAATCAGAGTCCAAATTTCAAGTAGTATAATCATATGATACATTTTATTATATTAAGTAACAATTTAATAGTAAACCGTTAGAATACGTTGTGTGGATTCCAACTTGGTTAAACTTTTGGAGAAATTAATAGACGACAGATGGCACCACGTTCGATACTCAGTCGATAAACAATCCTAATACTAATCATTCAGTGTCGCTGATTCTTGAAAAAAATCTAGTTGTAATCTATATTTTTGGATCGAGAAATACAAATAAAATGTAGTTATATATATTTTTACTTATATTGCGTACTCGTTGCCCACATTTCTTCGACGTTATCAGACTGTGCACAGTGCTTCGAGTCGTGCTTCAACTTGAAGCATCCTCGGAACTTTAACTGTTATCTTGTCACTTCACCGAGAATCCTCGAGTTTTGTTGCTCCTTCGTTGCTTCGTTTCACGACTTGGCGACGCTTATTGAGAAATCTCTACCGATTTGCTTTTCAAATACTTTGCCAACTTTTCGAAACAGAGAAATCCTTATCTCCTCCCCTCCACGAGACTTTCATGGAAAATATGAAGGTTACGCTTGGTCGACGGTAAGATCCGACGCCGCTCCTCGGGAAAACTTATCGACGACACTGTTTCCACCGGTGAAAAAGAGACGAGAGACGCGAAATTCCATCTCGTGGCGGGGAATGCAGTTTGACAGGGCGACAGACTGCAGTGTCCAATCAAAATCGTGGCGTCAGCAATTGTCATCCACCGCGTCAGTTAAATTCTGGTAGCAGATGGTGCACGACAGCCACGCATAATTTGCCACGACACGTAGACGACTTCACCTGACAAATGTACTGTGACAACTCGTTGATAAATGTCGAATTAAATGGCACCACTTTACCCTATCCATGTTAACCAAGGGAGTTAAGAACAAGTTAAACTTCATTTTAGGATACCAATCAATTTTTTATTTATCCAATTTTTTCCAATATTTTTTTGATGATAAATGCGAATAAACAGTTAAAATACCTAACCTAATTAACATAACCTAATCAATATATTTCTTAAGTCTTTGAGATATTGATTTAAGATAGGATTAGCATTGTTATATTTTATTATATCAGTATTAGCTTCACTGTTCTTTGTTATTATTACTATAATTTTTTTATTTTTTAAAAGTCAAAAATCGTTCATTTTCTAGTAAACCAAGAATCTCAAATTTTAAATACGTGCAATCTTGTTTTACCATTACATAATCTTTTATTACTTAATATCTATAAATTGAACTTCTCGAAAATAATTCAACGATCTAACCTAACATAACCTAATCTAAGACGTACGATACATTAAAAATGCTAAATTGAAAGTGCTAATTTAAAATACGTCCAAACAATGGATTCCTAAATTCGAAACCAAATATATTTTACTGTTGAAAATTAAATTGTTTCCATTTAATAATTAAATAAAAAAAAAAGTTTCGAAACGAAGAGTCATGATCAAAAATTCTGGATAAACAAATTCCTCTCTTTTATACTTTCAGGTCAGTGTATGGAAGAGAACCGGGGCTTCGTACCTACTCGATCGACGTACCTGATGATCGTCACCCTGACGGCGATCGTCGCGATATACAGGTGATTCTAATCGAACGGACGACGATCTCGTGACGGTTAACAAATTCGACGTTTCTAATCTGCGTTATTTGGACACCGTGTGGGTGACAAAACGAGGTGGTACACGTGTATAAAAAAAAAAATCTATACATATATATATATATATATATATTATACATACATGATCGCCTTCGACGCGAATCACTGAACGAGATCGGTCGAGCGTCCGAGCCACAAGCGACTAAAAGAGAGAGAGAAAAAAAAAAGGAAAAAAGAAAAACAAGAAGAACAAAAAAAAAGCGAACAATCGATACTTTGGCTTCGTACGCTCGTGTCCGTAGCTCTTGCTAGCCTCTCTGATACGTCGGGAGAAATTCATGCTCGCACGACCACCGTGGAAGGAATATCTTGAAAAAAAACGAGAGAAAGAGAAAGAAGACAGACTTGTTTCCTAAGAGGGATAGAGAGCGCCTGAATCGAGGAACGAAAGATAAAGTTGCCTATAATAAAGAGACAAGAAGAGAGGCAAACCTCCGATTCCTTCCGTACGAGTGCTGCTACTCCTTCAGTCTGGCAAGAAAATCAAGCAGACAGTGGAAGGGTGGAGGGTGGATCCGATCAAGATGAACGGTTTACCGTTTCGAGAGGAAGGAAGAAAGGAAGGAAGGAAGGAAGGAAGGAAGGGAGTATTAACCCTCGAAGGGAATTTTTTTTTCCTTCTCTCTCTCAAGAAAGGGAAACCGCTTGTGCGTTCCTTCCAGGACGATGTGAAAGAAGAGGAGGAGAGGAGGGTGATCGTGAATGATCGAACGCGAATTTCCCCTGGCCAGTAGGTTTTTTTACCGATGTAGCTCGTAGGCACTAGCTAATTAAAAAAAAAAAGAAAAATCGGGTAAAGCTGACGAAACAGTAATTACACAAGTTTTTATGGTTAGAACCATATCACGAGCCGAGATCACGGCGCGTCGATCGATCGGATTCTTCTTTTGGCGAAACGAAAGTAAACAAAAAGAGGTAAAATAACGAAGAAAAAGGATCGATTTATCTAAGGGACGGATGAGGGAGGGAGAGAAATGCAGCGTCACGTTTTTAGTTAGTAAGACGATCGACCGGCAGAGGTCGTTATCTTTTAAGGTAGAGAATACATAGAGGATAGGTTTAATATGGCGCGTATAGGGGGAGGGGGGAGAGGTTACTCGGCAAATGTTTTCTTTTACAACGTTCTCCTCTTTGCACGAGAAGGAAGTATCTTAAGTGTGCACTGCGCGTGTATTTTATATCGTTGGTGGGAAGAGGATATATGGTGGAAAATTTTTCGCCCGTTTCTCGAAGCATCGAAGACTCGAGGTTATTCAATTTTCAAGAATAATTTTAAGTTTGGGTCGAATAACGATGATTCGATTATGTATAAGATACGTAGAATTGAAAATTTTATGTTAAGTAGAAATGTATCTGGGTACTGACATAAGACGATTATTTGTGTTAAGTCTGTATTTATTTTTTTCATGACGAAAGATTAATTACGTATTGTAAACCAATAGTTTATTTTTCACGTGTAATTGCACGTGTTGAATATTTATTGCAATGTTGATTATTGTAATAAAAAGAAAATATTATTAAAATAGCTGATACAGCTGTTCATATTTATAGGCATAATACAAAAAACAATATTCTTGTTGCGTTTATTTTGATTAATAATAATATGTATTGTTATGAGAGAAAGTTTCATAATTTTATTTTTGTCTTGAATTTTGTGAATTTTTTCGAATTTTTTTCAACGTGAAGAAAACAGTTTTAAAATTCTCTTTTACAAAGTAAAAAACGAATTTTCCATTTTCAAATATGGATAATTTTTTTGAAAATACAATGTTCCAGAGGACAATGGATGATTCTTTGTCTGCCAAACAGGTTTTGCGTCCAGTGGAAAAAGCCTCGGGCAGAATTCAATTACCACACGAAATATTAGTAGATCTATTAAAGGTTGATTGCACTGTTAGCTGTTATGTAATAGCTACAAAGGGCTATTAGCCGTGTTATACCTAAATGTATACCGTAGCTATTATATAATAGCTCTAATAACCGCTAGCTATCTCGATAACTAACCAAAACAAGAAAAACACGTTTCAAAGCTTCTGAATTATTTTCGTTATTTTTCCGAAATGAAAGGAAGATATTTTATCGTTTTTTTTTTCAACGATGTTTCGAGAATTTGGACGAAAAAATCGATGATTTCGATTTATTAATATTTTTGCCGAGTAAAAAATTCGTTCTCAAAGTGAAAAAAAATTTAAAAATATAATATAATTTTGAGTTAATCAGTGAATGAAACATTCTGATATTCCTATAAAACAGTGTTTCTCAATTGACGTGTATCTCAAGTGTCGTGAAAGTAATTAAAATTTTAATTATTGGAATATTGGCACTATTGATTATTAATTACATCAAAATATTGATCTTTCAAAGTATTTTTTCCTTTTTAACTAATAAATTACTTTTTTTCCCAAAAAAATTCTTTCGTACGTTCATATTCAATGTAAGAAAAAAAAATATATATATAATATAGCGCTTAATCTTCCAGGCTTTCACGTGATTCGTCTCATCATCTGGAACTTTAATTTTTTCCCAAAATTTTCATCCCGACAATTATAACAATCAGACATCGTTAAACCAAAAAAAAGAAACACCCAAAACTCTTGACCTAACTTAATTTTCAAAGAAACCGCAACTCACGGGTTGAGAACCACTGTACTAGAACGATCCTCAAGGTTGAGAGTGAAAACCGACACCGACAATGCGGTGCACAGCCGCAAGTGTCGAAGAGGAAAGAGTGTTAACGAAGTGAATTCAAACGCAGTACAATCTGCAGTAGGATTAACCACGTATCTGCTGCGCCGAAGAGTTGAACGAGAAGAATCAGAGTGTATCGTGTATTTTTCTTGAAAAATCGCCACGTGTTACATCGAATAATTTATTCGACGGGGATAATATAATATTATTTCATGTTTCGAGTCGCGTATTAACTCTCGAATACTATTCTCCGTACAGAGACTCGCTATACATATACATATATATATATATATTCTGCATGGCTAAACAGAAACGTCGCGCGGCCGGATGATAAATTTAATACAAATATTTCTGGTATTTCGGGGCCATCACTATTTCGACGATTCAATTAACTTCCATCGGAGGGGGGAGGGGGGAGGAAGCAACGATGAAACGATGAAGGCAATTTCGAAAAGCGGGAGAGGGAGGGGAGGGGAGGGAGGAAGGAGGGGGGGAAGGAGGTGAGGTTCCACCGCTCAAATTTATTTCATCGCCACTTGCAGAATATCAATGCCTCTCTCGTTTCAAACATTTTTATTCGGGACGTTTAATCGATTTCTGTATAAATTCCACGCACTTTTTCTGTACCATTAACGGGGTAATCGGATCACGGGATAATAAAAACCTTGTTCGGGGATAAATTACCTTGGACAAGAGTTTCGAGTTCTCTCCCATTTCAAGTTCTTCAAAGGATTATTTGAAAGGGGGGGGAAGGGGGGGGAGGAAGGGGGGGAGCGGGAAATATCGATATGGACGAACGGCCGAAACGTGTAAAGTGTAATATTGTAACTGTGATGGATTTATATATTCGGTCTGTTGTATCCAACATTTCGAAATATTTCTCTCTCCTCGGGGTTAAGAATAGATTCGAGGTTAAGATTAAAACGCTAAACAAGAGTTGGGATTAATTCACTAGATAAAAATCATTTTTAGAAATTTAGTTGGGAAGAATCGTTTGTTATAAGTAAGGCTGTGAATGTTCGTGCAAATTATATTTTTTTATCTTTTTATAATTGTAAAAATTTAAATTCCGTTCGGATTTAATTCTTTTTTATGGTTTTCTGATTGAACAGACGAGAAATTTGTTTAAAAAAAAAAAATAAAAGAAAAAAATTGGCTCATAATAAATGATCTTTTAAAATGAAATTAATCACGAACTCTGATTCTTCCTCGTTTCAATCACTTTCATTTTTCTTTGCCAACGCGTCTACTCTCATGGAAAAATTCCTGAGTGGCCAAAATTCTCAATTATATTAATTTATCACCGAGCATCGAGTGAATAAAAAGAGACAAATCGGCCACTCGTTCGATCCAAAGATGGAAAGAAAACCACGATATTTTATTCAATATGATCCACAATATTTGGACGATATATTTCCCCGATAAAAAATTTCCAAAGATTCTCCAAATAGTTGGAAAAATATTGAAATATCGTGCGATTCGATCGAATTGCAATAATGGTCGCAAACGACGACCACGATCGATGGAATCAACTTCCACTTGAAGGAATTTTTCCACGAACCCGTTAGGCGTGCACGTTATAACGTGAGCAATAAGCAATAATGTGACGCAAACCGTGAGTAGAAGGGAAAAAAAAATCGCGACTTTATAAGCCAGAGATGTTCCAGTTATATCAGTTTGTCCACAATCTGGTTTTTCGCGAATGAGAAGAGAGGAGGGGGGGAAGAGAGGAGAAAAGAGGGAGGGTGGATACGGATCGATCGATCGCGAGTTAGGACGCTACGATATTATTGTAACTAATATAGAGTCTATATTATATTATTGTACAAGCATCTTTGTAATAATTAACCCGAACCGAGTAACGAGAGGTGAAATGGAAAGGGGGAGACAGAGGAGTAACGAGGCACGAATAAAGGAGTACGTAACAATGGGGAAAGATGAAGTGAGAAAAAAAATTGAAAAAAAAGAAGAAGAAAGAAAGAAGAGTGAAATAAAAAGTTAAAAAGTAAGATGAATAGAGAGAAAGAGAGAAAGAGTGTGTGTGTGTGTGTGTGTGTGTGAATGAAACATAAGAAAAGCCAATCGCTATTTTACCACTTTTCCAATCGCGGTAAACGTAGTTTTTACGCTATTTGATCTTTCCTTCATTTTTTTCGTAATTGCGGATGAAGATAAACCTTTGATCCACGAGAATTCGTAACTTGAAAATTAAATTGGAAAGATAAACAATTGTGTTGGATAACTGCGATTGCACGAAAAGAAAATATTGGAACTTGTAAAAGTTGTTGCTCTCTTTATGTTCGACGAAACAGAAAAATAAGTCTGAGTTCTGAGGTCGAATCATATTGGAGTCGAATCTCTATAAGTGTAAAATTTAGATATCTTTTTATCTTATCTAGATCCATTTCTCTTTTTTCTTCTCTTTTATGTTTAGTAAAACAGACTATTACTACTATCCCATAAATGCAAAATTTGAATTTTCATTTTTGAACTTCGATTTGTCTTCTTTAACTTTTCGAAAATTCAAAATACAAAGGAAATGCGAATCTGATCAATTTCGTATCAATTTCAATACCATTACACGATAAATGCAAAATTTATGTAGTTATCCAAGTATTACTATACTATAAATCCTCTTCTTATTTCTATTAACATTTTTCACGTACTTTTTCAGAAGAGAAAATGCACTCCTCTAACCTAAGAGTTGTCAGAAAAACTCTCTCTGTGAAAAGAGCGGAAAATAGTGCAATTAATGAACCGGTTATTGGTCCGCCACCCGTTATTTGTTCGCTACCCGCCTCCATTTGGCTAGAGTATGAGTTATGGCCTTGCCTATTTCACTAACTATACTTCTTTCCCCCCCCCTGCCACACTTTTCGCGAGGATAATTTTTCTGGCAACCTAACCTCTAGAGATAAAAGAGAAATGTTTCTGGAACATTTTACGGTCCAGAGGCTCTTTTAGAAATGAGCATACGGTATATAACGTACGTAAAGAGGAGGGGGAATAAGAGTCGAGAAAATATCGAAGTGTGGGGAAAAATGGCCGCGCGACATGCGGAAAAATGCGGTGGATCAAAGGCTCCTTCCTTTCAGAGGCGTTCATTTAATCGAGCGAAAGACGCTCTCCTTTTCAAGCTTCTCAGAAACGAGAGAGATCGATCGACTTTCATGCGTACCTTCTCAACCGAGTTGCTTAAGGCGAATTTACACTTTAACGTGCATCGTGAATAATTTATTTAATTTATATTAAACACTGTTTTCATTCAAAATGGATAAAATATAGTCGGTTTTCATTTTTGTATATACAATGATTCATGATGTAGTCAGAAACAAGTGAACAGTAACGCTCTCTTTACTATCCTATTACTATATTTACCAATTCTCGAAGAAGGAACCTTGAAGCGAAACTTGACACCGATTTTTTGTTTCTTACACTCATTTCTTTCAGTTGAATAAGCTTGAACTACGACACTAAAGTATTATACTTGTTATATTTCGCTTGTTAAGAAATTTTTGAAAAATTTAGCTTAGAAATGAATTCAATTATTAAATTGATGTAAAATATTTCAAATATTCGAAATTTGTGGAAATGAATCATTGATGCATATGCACAAGTGTAAACTCGCCTTTATTCTGCCATTTGTACAGAGGAATTAAGCAAATTACGACACGAGACGTCTTTTGTTCATTTTCTTATTAATTTTGACTTTTGTTTTACTGTACACCGGACAAGTAGAGAGAAAACACTTAGAGGTTAGGACTTTTAAACGATTAGCACCTTAGATGCCGTACTTGTAC